AATGTCAGTTTCTCAGAGAAAGGGCTATTCTCCTAATAAGCCAGAGGAGTATTATGAAGTGCTCAGCCTTTCAGTGCCATCCCAAAGCCAAAAGTAGAAGGGGAGCCACAAGAGAGGTGGCTTCTGAGGGCCAGGGTGGCCAGGAGGGTTCTGTGGAGGCTTTGCACCCCTCCTACTCTGTCCATTGAAGTGTTTGGTTATATTCAGGAAACTTCTTAGCTTTTGATTTAGTCCAGTTGTGCTAACTTCCCCGTAGTGTGTGTTGTCCTTCCCTTTACCTAAGATAATTCTTGTCTACAATCTAGTTAGTTTGAAAAGATTTTAATCATTTTGCTTTTGAAATTATTTGGCTGTGAGTAACTCATTTAATTTATGATTGGTGTAATTTCTTGGCAATCATCTTGCATACACAAAGATTCTTGTGAACTAAGAAAATCTAAGCTACTAATTATTTTCGAATGTAATGAAATTTTGTGAATTTTGATTGAAAAAAATTAATGAAGTTGACTAAATGTGACATCTTGCAGACATTTTAATTAAATACTTGTCAATGAGGCTGGTGGAATGTTTTACAGATACATAATAAAGTACTTATTAATTTTGATTATCACATCTTAATTTTGTGTATTGGAGGCCAGGCATTTTTTTTTTTAAGTCTCAAACATTTTTGTAGGCCTCTGAGAAGCTCATGGGCCCTCAACATTTTGCCCTTAGTGCCAAGTAGACAAAATGGCCCTGCCTGTATTACTATGTGGAGTGGGACTTTAAAAGGAAATATGGCCATCAGAAGCTATAAATAGAGCAGCTTCTGGATGACAGGATGGGTTAAATGCTTTACATGCACTTTCACATTTAACCCTCATGGTAGCCCTGTGGGAACATGGTATTATTAGTCCTAATTGATAGATCAGGAAATGGAGGCCACACATCTGGGAGACCTGAGATTTGAGCCCAGGCTCTATCATCTGTCCTTTTGATGTTTTTCACGTCTGCTGTGTCAGTTCCCCTCTTGAATATTTACAGCAGTATTAATTTTGGTTGTTAAAGGAGTCTGGTTAGGTCTATAGGAAGAGTTTAGAGCCAGAAGTGAGAATCTAGATGGGTCAGTCATCAAAAAAATACCACCACTTGCTTGACCAGGGCAAAGTCATAGAAATCATAGAAGCTTCACAGACACATCCAAATGCCCTGAGAGACTGAGTTACTGGCCTGAGGGCTGGGGACCATGATCTTGGGACACATGTAGATCAATTGGTATAACATAGTCTATAAAGAAAATGTTCTACGTCCAACTGTGGTGAGTAGCAACTGGGGTCTTAAAAGCCTGTGAGCGGCCATCTGAGATACATCTACTGGTCCAATCCTGGCTGGAGTAAAAGAGAATGAAGAAGAACAAAGACACAAGGGAAAGATTAGTCCAAAGGACTAATGGATCACAACTACCACAACCTTTACCAGACTGAGCCCAGAACAACTAGATGGTGCCCAGTTACCACCACTGACTGCTCTGGCAGGGATCATAATCAAGGTCCCAGACAGAATGGGAGAAAAATGTAGAACAAAATTCAAATTCACACACAAAAACAAAAAAACAAAAAAAAAAACAAAAACAAGAAACAGGTTTGCTGATCTGACAGAGACTGGAGAAACTCAGAGAGTATGGCTCCTGGATACCCTTTTAACACAGTACTGAAGTCACTCCTGAGGTTCACTCTTTTTCAGCCAAAATTAGACAGGTCTGTAGGGCCAACAGGAAACCCTGGGGGCATAATGGTTAAGAGCTACAGCTGCTAACCAAAAGGTTGGCAGTTCAGATCCACCAGGTTCTCCTTGGAAACCCTATGTGGGCAGTTCTACTCTGTCTTATAGGGTTGCTATGAGTCAGAATCGACTCGACGGCAGTGAGTAATAGGGCCAACAATGACACACATGAGGGACGTCCTTCATAGTTTAATCATGTATATGAGACTAATGGGCACACCAGCCCAAAAGCAAAGACAAGAAGGCAGGAAGGAACAGGAAAACTGTAAGAATGGAAACAGAGAACCCGGGGTGGAGAAGGGGAGAGTGTTGACAGATCGTGGCATTGGCAACCAATGTCACAAAACAATTGGTGTATTAACTGTTTAATGAGAAACTAATTTGCTCTGTAAACTTTCACCTAAATCACACACAAAAAAAGTATAAAAGCAGGCAAAACTCTAATATATGGTGATAGAAGTCAGAATAATGGTTACGTGGGGGAAGTAATGACAAAGAGGGAAATTAAAGGAAGCTTCTGGGGTGTTGCATGACTGATCTGTATGGTTGTTATATATATATTAAAAAAAAAACTTGTTGCCGTCGAGTCAATTCCAGCTCATAGTGACCCTGTAGGACAGAGTAGAACTGCCCCATAGGATTTCCAAGGCGTAGCTGATAGATTTGAACTGCCAAGCTCATAACCACTGTGCCACCAGGGCTCTAGTTGTTATATAGATGTGTTCAATTTGTAAAAAATCATCAAGCTATACTTACAATTTGTGCACTTTTTTGTATATATGATATATATCAATAAGAATATTTAAATTAGTCCCTCAGGGAAAAATAGAAGTTGAACACAAGGCAGAAGTGTGAGAAGTGCATAAAAAGACTGTAAGTGAGATACTGTAGGGTTAAATAGAGGGACTATATCAGGATGGAAGAAGTCATGGGAGGTAGTTTTCAGCTTGCCTAGGAAGGACAAGGGTGAGGTGGGAGAGGACAAGAGAGGAGCATTTCTGAAGAGAGTGAATATCAAACATAACGGTACAGTATAAGCCCCAAACCCACTGCCATTGAGTTGATTCCAACTCATAGTAACCCTATAGGACAGAGTAGAACTGCCCCATAGGGTTTCCAAGGCTATAAAACTTTATGAAAGCAGACTGCCACACCTTTCTCCTGTGGAGCAGGTGGTGGGTTCAATCCACTGACCTTTCAGTTAGCAGCCGAGCGCTTTAACCACTGCACATCCAGTGTTCCTTTACATGCCCAAGGAACATCAAATATTCCAGTTTGGCTGGAGTGGCAAATGAAAGAAGGATAATAATGAGAAAAAGGCTAGAAAATAGGTTATAATTACATTGTATAAGGCCTTGAAAATCAGGCTGAGGAATCTTAATTCAAAAGGAAATAGGGAGCCATTGAAGATGTTTGAGCAGGTTATCCCCCTTGCAAGACTAAACAAATGGCAGTAGGAGGGGAATGTAGGAGCAGAGGAACTGGAAGCAAGGTAATCAGCAGTCTATCTCAAATATACTAGGAGAAGGACCTGAGGACTTGAACTAGGTTGGAGTCATTAAGCATGGAAAAGAGATGTTGAGTGCAGATGTCAGCATAGAGAAGGACTTGATAGAACTTAAAAACCAATTGGACGTGAGAGCAAGAGAGACAGAACAAAGACAGACACCCGGATAGGCTGACCAGAAGGATTATGGTGCATTTACTGTGAGAAAACTTTAAACTATAAAACCTTTCTATTTCTCTATATTCTGTCTCAAACTTCATATTTTCTGGAAAATAATAATAAAATACCACCAGTTGCCATCAAGTTGTTTCCGACTCATGGTGACCCCATGTGTGTCAGAGTAGAACTGTGCGCCATAGGGTTTTCAATGGCTGTTTTTCCTGGAAGTGGATGGCCAGACCCTTCTTCCAGGGTACCTCTGGATATACTTGAACCTCCAACCTTTAGGCTAGCGGCTGAGAGCATTAGTGATTTGCACCATCCAAATGGTTAACCATTTGACTCAAGGATTTTCTTCAGCCCCTGGCTTTTAATATGCTTCCTGTTAAAGCAGAAACCACTCCTGGGTCCCCTAAGTGAGAACAAGTAAGTGAATGTCCTTGGCTGTAAGGGGATTGAGGGAATGGTATCCAGGGGAAGGTTATGACATGAAAAGCTCGAACAGTCGCTGTATGATAGTAGCTAAGAGACTCTGGGGAATAAGACTTATCTTAGCGGCGGACATTGGAGGGGGTCTAGAATCTGTGTGTAAACAGTCTTCAGCCTGGGTCCTATGAAGGTGGCTACCTTCTAGAAATCCCAGTTAGAGTGGTGGAGGCCTGCTCCAGGGAATTTCAGCCCACATCAAGGGTGGTCACATAATCTTTGTAGGCATGTGATTAATATAGTTTGAGTTTTTCATCCTTTCAGTATATTCAGACTTACGTATACACATATGCTTTACCTGGGTTAAATGCTTTACATGCACTATCACATTTAACCCTCATGATAACCCTATGAGAACATGATATTATTGGTCCTAATTGGTACATCAGGACATGGAAGCCACACATCTGGGAGACCTGAGATTTGAGCCTTGGCTCACTGACTTCAAAGCCCAGGCTCTATCGTCCATTCTTTTGATCTTTTATAGGCCTGCTGCCTCAGTTCCCCTCTTGAATATTTGGGCTCACATATGTGTATGCAAGGGGTGGGATGGAAAAAGCAAGGTGAAACAAAGCAACAGGAGATATAAAATATTTCCTTTTTTCTCAAAAAGTGACACAAAGATTACCATGTGACCCTGTAATTCCATTCCTAGGCATATACCCTAAAAGACTTGAAAGCAGGAACTCAAACAGATACTTGACTACCAGTGTTCATTGCAGCATTACTCACAATAGCCAAATGGTGGAAACAACCCAAGCATCAACAGATGAATGGATACATAAAATGTGACATATACATACAATGGACTATTATTCAGCCACAAAGAGAAATGAAGTTCTGATACGTGCCACGACATGGATGAACAGTGAAAATATTATGCTGAGTGAAATAAGTCAGATTCAAAAGGACAAATGTATGCGCTCACTTATATGAAATATCTAGAACAGGCAAATGAATAGATACCAAAGTTTATCAGTAGTTACTGGGAGCAGGTGAAAGGAGGAAAGAGGGAGTTATTGCTGAAGGGGTACTGAGTTTCTGTAAAGGGTGATAAAAAAACGTTGGAAGTGGATAGTGGTGATGGTTGCCCAATGTGGTGAACGTAATAAATGTCACTGAATCGTACATGTAAAAATGGCTGAAATGGCAAATGTGTTGTTACAGATAGCCTACCACAATTTAAAAAAATATTTCCTCTTTCTTACGTCCTTCCCTTTAAATACATAGGTGTGGTCTCTGATTACATCAGCCCCTCTCTGAGCTCGTGAGAAGCGCTTATTTTCATGGTTCAGCAGTCAGGGTAGATATAGAAATTGGCCAGTGTATCTAAGTGTAGTGAGTGGGTTAGGAGTAGAGATTGGAATCTGCATGTATTTGTAGCAATACCAGCTTCAGCTTGGAGAACTGTTAAGGGAGGGGTGTCAGTGGTTGAGAGAGGAGCAGGATCATGCTGGCGTGAATGGTGTCAGTAAAGGACCAGAGAGAATTTTGTCACAACCCAGTGGCTTTTCAAAGTGTTTTTGCAAAGGTGAAGACCAACACAGACATAAGATACTAGTTTCTCTCTCAGGGGTGAGGAGAAGGATTCTAGCAGGGAGGGTCACACAGAGGGCTTCTAAGAAACAGGACTGATAATGGCCTATTTCTTATTCTGGCTGGTGAGTATGGGGTTTTCAACTTATTGTTCTTTAAAACATACATATATGTTTTATACTCTCTTCTTTATGTATGAAAAATTTTGCAATAAAAAACTGGAAAACATGCATTGCAGCACTGTTAGAAACAAATTCATGTTTCTTTTATTTTTATTTGATTTAGGTGAGCGTAGCTACCCCAAAGCAGAAACCAAAGACTCCGTTTTGCTTTGGTAAGTAGTACCGAGCCAGAGGGTGGGCTTTCTTTCCACTCACACATCAGCTTCCTCTTTTGCATGGAAACAGTCCTGTGATCCCATGTGACTATGCCCTGTGTATATGAGTGACTTAAATCACAGTGGTGTTCCTGGGTCTCAGGTGATACTGCTTTTCTTGGTCTCCCTGCAAGGATCATTATTGACAAAAGGACAGAGGCACAGGGACCAGTGACATTTCAGTTCTTCTGACTCCACAGGTTTGGGTGTAAAATATCTGCTAGAAGTTTCTGGGAACCCTTATTTCAGAGCTGAGTAATGGTTTGCTCAGGGAAGATGGAAACTCAGGTGGGGTTGGGGAAGAGGAGTGGGAGTGTCAGGACGGGGGTAATGGAAAGGAAGGAGTGTTCTGTTGAGGGTTCTAGTGGTGCCAAATGAGTGACAGTGTTGGTGGGTGATGCAGGGAGCAGAGCCACTCAGTGGATGCCTCAGGTCATTGAATCAGTATTTATTTGGCACCTACTATGTTCTCACAACTGTACTAAGTGCTGTGAGCAAATGCTAACAAATAAATCATGTTGTATATCTATGGTGGCTCTGAATGTAAGCTCCCAAAGGCAGGGATTTTTCTCTGTTTGGTCACTGCTGTATCCTCAGCACTTAGAATGCTTCATGGCACATAGTGAGTGCTCAATAAATATTTGTTGAATGAATGAATGAACTAATGAATTCTGTGTTTACCTTCTGATGCTCACCTCTTATGGTTCAGTCTTATGCTAAGAGAATAAAATGGTCCTTTGTGTGATAGTCTACTCTCCCAACTTCAGATTGGTTCAAAATTGTTGGGTACCCTCATTCTCCCATTTCTTTCAAATACCATCGCCAAGCTCAAAAAAGACTATCATAGATTTTGTGGTTAGCAGATCTAAACAAAAAGAAAAAAAAGTATTGTGAACTCAGAAGTAAATTGTAGACCTAATGGAATTCTCAGAGGAAAGAGCAGGTTCCGAATGAGGTCAAGGTCACAGATACTACCTCTGGAAACTTTTGTTCTATTTCCCAACCACAAACAAGACTTCTAATCCAGGCCAGTTGTGCCAGTGGAAACAAGGAGCACTGGGTCCAAACTTACATATGTATCATCACTGTAAATCTGTTAGCACCACTCAAAGAACAGTTCAGGGATGTGTCTTGTTGATGGTGGACTAGCAGCCTCATCTGCACAGAACAGCACATTGAGGCGTTGTTAATGTTGCTAGGCCTCATTCGTGTGGCCAATGGAATAATCCATGCTTTTAAAGGTGGGAGAGAGGGCATTTGTGGCCTGCTACTTCCTAAATATTTATATATGTGATGTAGCATCGTGGGAAATTTCTTGATCAGCTTTGGGGATTATCCACCTTGCTAATTAAAACACCTTAGTTTCGTGGAGTGTTGTTGTGTTTCATGTGTTCTGACCTGGGATTTTCTCTGTTCCTCCCCATGACTTTTGTAGTCATCAATGCCCTCTCTCAGAGGTATTTTCTTCAAGCCAATGACCAGAAAGATCTGAAGGACTGGGTTGAAGCCCTGAACCAAGCCAGCAAAATCACTGTACGTATGGTTCCTTCTCCTTTCTGGAGGGAGTAAAAGTGCCTCTTCCTAGCATAAGGCCTGCTTGGGGTGGAGAAGAAATCAGATGACAACGGGGACTTTCCCAGGAGACTCTTCCAGACCCAGTCCCCTCTTCCCCACCTTGTCTTGCACCTTGACTGATTAACCACAAGTTGAAATGAGAGTTTGAGTTTGAATCAAGTTCAAGGGGAAGTTTATGGAGCGTCCACTCTTTGCTTCCTGGGAGGGCTTGTGGTCAGTCATGTTTTGGCTAATTCTGGGATGCTGATTCAGAATGTGGTGGGATTGGTAGACGGATTGCTGACTATGAGAAGTAGAGTAACGGGAAAGAACTTATGAGGAGGGAAGTTAGAACTTTTCCCCGGCTTCTTACTTTAAGACGTGGCCTGAAGGATTAGTCCAGGCCACCCATCAACCCATCCTGAAAAAACCTTCCGCTTAAAAGTATCGCTGAACTAGTTCACTGATTATTCTGATTACTCTCATTTTCCCTGACTTGGCTAATGAAGAACCTCTTTCTTCTTCCTTAGGGAAAAAAAAAAAGAGAAGAAAAAAGGGAGAAGGGTGGGAAAGAGGGAGAGGGAAAAATGTATGTTGTGGAAAAAATTAGGTCTTTAATGCCAGACTTACGGCATATAAACCATGGTTTATATGTTGAAAAGTTTGATTTTCTGTATCATGGAGTCAGATACACATTCTAGTGACTTTTCAGTTATAACAACTATATGCTTGGGCAAATTATTCTCCCAGATACCTCAGGTTCCCGTGAATAAATTAATAGAAGAAATCTGTACACCTACCCAGTTCTTGTGATGCTACACATAACCAGAGTGTAATTTAGGCATCTAAACAAGTTTTGCTTGTTATTCTGATAAACCTTGATAAACCTGTGAAAAGAGAAATGGAGGGAGAGAGGAAGGAAGGGAGGTTGCTGCTAACTCATGTACTGATGTGTACTAAACCATATGCTTGCATATGCATTTCTAGAGCTCAGTGTTAATTTTAGTAATGGTTTTCTTTATTCCTGTTGGCATCTTCACCCTTCTGCATCTTCCACAGTTTGGGAATTTTCTTTCAATGTCTAATTCTTAATTTTTGTTCAGAATTTCCTCCTGGATTTCTGCCTTTGTTACTGCCTGGTGAACTGGGCTAGACAGCCTACAAGACAACAGGGAGGCTCTTCTGCCTTTCTTTTGTGCCTTGAGCATAGAGTTGCTCTAAGTAGGTAGTTCCTCCTGCCTCCTCTCTGGCCCAGTGGGCAGAAGTTACCCTCCAGGCTACATGAGAGAGAGGGAGCATGATAGCGTGCAGAGACTGGAAGTTCAGAGCCTTCTGGAATGTCAGAGCCTCCTTCAGAGTCTCCACAATTTCCAGGATCTCCCTTACTTTCCTTTGCTCGGTTTATATATCTCTTCATTCCTCCTCAGGCATTTTGGGGGTTACAGAGATGAAAGTGTGAACAGATAATGTAGCAAGCCAAACGTTTACATGATGTATCATTCAACTTCTGTGTCACTCTTGAGAGAGACGTTTTACTGCCATCTTTTAGATGAAGAATGTGAAGCTCTCAGAGTCTTGCCCAAGGTCAAGAAGTTAGTAAATGGTAGAGCTGGGATTCAAACCCGGGTCCCCCTGACTTCCAATGCCTATGAACTAAGGAGCATATACAAGTATTAAAAACAAGTAACAGTTGTAAACTATGTTAGAGATTACACACCACTTTTTTATACATGGCTTTAACCTGATAAAAACCTTCTTAAGTAGAAAGGGTTGTCGTCAAGTCGATTCCGACTCATAGCAACCCTGTAGGACAGAGTAGAGCTGCCTCATAGAGTTTCCAAGGAGTGGCTGGTGGATTCAACCTACCGACCTTTTCGTTAGCCGCCGTAGCTGTTAACTACTGCGATGAGGAAATGGAAATGCCATGGGATTAGAGTGACTTTCCCAAGGTCATGTAGTAGTCACGTAGGAGCGAGGATGCTAAAGTTATTGAGTCCTTATGATTGAAGAAAATGATTGACATGTGGTATTTGAAGAATTGGGTTCTCTCAAAGAATCCCAAATATTTCCTGTATTAGTTTCCTATGGCTGCTGAAACAAATTACCAGAAACTTGGTCACTTAAAACAAAAGATATTTATTCTCTCTCAGTTCTGGAAACTAGAAGTATGAAATCAAGGTGTCACAGGGCCATGTTCTGTCTGAAGGCTCTAGGGAGGAAATCTTCCTTGCCTCTTCCTAGCTTTTGATGGCATCTTGCAATTCTTGGCATTCCTTGGCTTGTAGTTGCATTATTCCAATTGCTGCCTCTTCGTCACATGGCCTTTTCCCCTGTCTGTGTCCTCTCCTCTTACAAAGACATCAGTCGTTGGATTTATGGTCCCCTCTAATCCAGCATGACCTCATCTTAACTTGATTACATCTGCAAAGACCCTATTTCCAAATAAGATCACACTCCGAGGTTCTGGTACATGAATTTTTGGGGAATACTATTCAATCCGCTACATTTCCCAGAAGGGTGGAGAATTCAGTAGCAAAGGTAAAGCACAGCTTCCCCCAACAGATTCGATTATTCATCATAGCAGTCTGGCCGTGTCATTGGCCAGAAGGATGAGTTCTTGGTTTTCTTGCGTTGTAGGTGAGATTCACATGGATCTCCCTTATTAGAGAACACTCTGTAGGTGGATGGAAGGGGGCACATCTTTCATAAAGCCTCTGGGATATGGACAAACCAGAAGAAGGACTTGGTTTTCAAGCTGTGTAGCATAATTTTAGTTGAGTTTGTCTTCCACTTTGCCATTGTCAGTTGCTTTCCAGTTGACTTTGACTCATGGCAACCCCATGTGTGTCAGAGTAGAACTATGTTCCACAGGGTTTTCAATGGCTGATTTTATTATTATTATTAGGAAGTAAATCTCCAGGCCTTTCTGGCTGATTTAAATTCTCATTAGAAAGTGGAAATAGTTTAGAAAAGCTTCGGGTGGTTAGAAGTGGCCCACAATATGGGGATGTGGGTGGTGACCACCAGTGGTCTCCTAGGTTGGTTGACTAGTTTCTGAGAAGAAACGTAACAGTCACGCTTCTTGGTTGGTCCTTTTCTGGTCATTGGGAACTGCAAAAGGCTGTTTCCCTCCTCCTTTGCTGGGTTTAAGGAACTCATTTGGGTCTTTTGAGGTCTGAGGAAATTTCTGCTATTTCATAGTGGTTATATCACTAAACACTCCAGCAATAATCAAAGCCCTGAAGAATTCTGTCATGCGATGGTAAAACTCAGAGAATGTTACAAAGGGTGGCTTAGGTTGGTTAGTAATACTTAACAATGGGTAGTCAGGCAGTTCTGGGGGCAAATTACTTAATTTTAATGAGCTTCAGTTATCTCATTTGTAAAATGGAGAAAATAATGCCTACTTGGTAAGTTTGCTGTAAAGATTAGAGATAATGCAGTAAAGCGCTTAGCACATTGCCTGGCACTAAATGGGACCCCAGAGAAATGGTAACTGCTATTATCTGTCAGACAAGGAGTTCTGGTGGCACAATGGTTAAGCGCTCAGCTGCTAACTGAAAGATAGGCTGTTCGAATCCACCACCTGCTCCTCAGGATAAAAGATCTGCTCCCGTATAGATTACAGCCTAGGAAACCCTATGGGGTAGTTCTTCTGTTTCCTGTGGGGTCACTGTGAGTCAGAATTGGCTTGGCGGTGCCTAACCGCCACAGTACAACATTATCTCTTGGGGGCAGTGGTGGTTCAGTGGTAGAATTCTCGTGCACCATATGGCAGACCTGTGTTTGATTCCCAGCCAGAGCAGCTCATGTGTAGCCACCACCTGTCTTGTCAGTGGATGCTTGTGTGCTGCTATGATGTTGAACAGACTTCAGTGGAGCTTCCAGAATGAGACAGACTAGGAAGAAAGGCCTAGTGATCTACTTCCGAAAAATCTGCCAATGAAAACCCTGTGGATTACAGGGGTCTGATCCACAACTGATCACAGGGAGGGCACACGACCCGGCAGTGTTTTGTTCCATCGTGCAGGACAACATCCTGATGAGTTAGGGCTGACTGGATGGCAGCTAACAACAACATTATCATCTCTCAGACAGCCAGAAGGAAAACAGAACGAGGATTCTCATCCACCTGTATATGTAAACCGAGTGTTCAGGCCAGTAAGAGGGTCTCATCTTACGGGGGACCAGGCGTAATCACAGTGGTCTTCCTCCTTTGAACAGAAACCAAACGGTATGGTCTTCAGTCGTTGTCTTTGTCAGAGTTCTCACGTAGCTGTGGCTCTTCAGAAGGTCTAGATTCTTGTTGGCCCTGAAGGTCTTACTGACACTGATGGCTGTAGAAGAAGTGGGAGAGGACTTCAGATTTCCTTGGCAGATAGAAGCAGGGTCTTTAGTTCTTGGGAGGAAGAGGTGGTGTAATGCTATGAGGAGCACACTGACTAGGATTCACCGTCTAGTTTCAGTGCAGTTATTATTCATTTGGGCAAGTGACTCTACTGTTGGGGCCTCTTTTTGTTTGTTTGTTTTTTTCATTACAAAATGAAGGATTTCGTTAGAATTTGCAGACTCCAGTATAAATGATTGAAGTGAGCAAAGAGGAAGAAAAATACCACCATAAATGAGGATAAAAGGCGTCTGACCTGTGGCCATGGTATTGGAGAGAATGGAGAATGGTAGGGACTGTGGCAAACTGAAGAACGTAGTTCCCATCTTAAGAGGAAACTGCTGTTTAGCTAGAAATATGGATTTTGATGTGAAATATCTCAATTAAAAAACAGTGCATAGGACAAACAAAACACAATTTGGGCAGATTCTACCTGTGGGTCACAAGTTGGCCAACTAGAATTCACTCCTCAAAAAGAGCTGTTTGTAAGTGTTAGCATCACTTGTAAAATGTTAACTATTTTACAGTTCTTCTATATTTTCATTTGCATTTCTGGAATTTTTAAATGTATATACTTTAACATTTGCTAGGAGCCCTGGTGGCGCAGTGGTTAAAGCGCTCAGCTGCTAACTGAAAGGTCGGCAGCTCGAACCCACCAGCCTCTCCACAGAAGAAGGATATGGCGGTCTGCTTCCGTTAAGGTTGCAGCCTTGGAAACCCCATGGGGGCAGTTCTACTCTGTCCTGTAGGGTCGCTATGCGTCGGAATTGACTTGACGGCACCCGGTTTTAACGTTTGATAACCGCAACAACTTTATGACACAAATATGAATTCTTAGCCCATTTTACAGGTGAGACAGTTTAGTCCTAGAGAGGTTAAATGATTTGCCAAAGGTCATTTAGTTAGTGGTAGGTGAGCAATTCTAGCCGGGCCCTCCGGCCCCCAGGCGTACTCTACCGCTCATAGTCGGCAAGTGTTTTCAGCTGGTCTGCTTGCCCGCTCTGCTCTTTCTCCCTTCTTCACGTTCCTGGTTCCTTTTCATCCTCCAGGTTACTGTTTCAACATCTCCCTCCCCCCCCCCGGAGACGACCCCTAACCACTCCACCTATTAGTTCCCCTGCTGTTCTCTGTCTTGGCTCCTGTTTATTTTCTTTGTGGCACTCACCACAATTTGTAACTCTTCCAACAGGTTGTTTCCTTACGTATTTTTATCAGTTTCCCCTGCTAGCAGGGAAGTGCCGGTTCATAGTAGGTACTCAGTAAATTTGTTGAGTAAGTGTGTATATGTGTACGTGGAGGAGATTGCTGGCAGAGTTCCTCACATTCAAATATGGATCAGTGGAAGGGCTGGGGAGGACAAAGTGTCTCACTATAATTTGGTACCACATTAGCTTTCCTCACTTCACCTCCCTCCACTACTATTGGTGCCCCCCTTTTCCTAACCCTTTTATTTCTTGTTGACCATGCCATCATTTTCCTAGGTACCCAAAGGTGGGAGCCTGCCTCTGGCTACTGAAGTGATCAAGAGCCCGGCAGTCCCTCCAGCCCTGGAGAAGAAGACACAAGTGGCCTACAAGACAGAGATCATTGGAGGGGTGGTGGTGCACACACCCATCAACCAGGTGCTGGGGCCTGGGGCTGCCATGAGGTCATGACAGCATGGTAGTGCCCAGTGATGTGCACAGTACTGTACTGGAGAAAAAGTCATTTGAAATGGATGGAGCTAGTGCAGATGGGGTGGTCAAGAAAATACAGGGCAGGGAGTAATAGTAGTGTAGAAATTGAGGCCATCTTCTCTTGATGAGTGGCCAGTACATAGGAGATAAGCACTTGTCAAAGCCCACGACAAATGGTTCTGGGGAAGGCAAGCGAGGCTGGAAACAAGCCCCCTGTCCCGCCTCCCATTCGTGTGCTTATCCCCTCCTCTGGTTTGCATTCTCTGTCCTGCCCTCCCTCCTGGGTCTGCCCAACCTCTCCGAGCCTTGTTCTATGAAAGCACACAGTACAGTGCCTGACAGGAGCAAAGTAAACGTTTATTTTCTTGTTTATTTCTTCTTTGGCTGACAGAAGGGCAAAGAGGCAAGAGGTTTGGCCAGAGGGAGTTGGGTGGGGAGTGTGACTGCGTAGAGGAGCGAGAGGGAGGTGCTAATGCTGACACTGTTTCCTTGTAGAATGGTGGGGATGGGCAGGAAGGGAATGAGCCAGGATCCCACGCCATCCTTCGAAGGTCTCAGAGTTACATCCCCACGTCAGGCTGCCGTGTTCCCACCGGGCCTCCCCTCATTAAGAGTGGCTACTGTGTGAAGCAAGGGAACGTGGTGAGTGTCAGCATGGGCTGGATCGGGATTCTGGTGACTCCTGGGAGCCAGTGGGTGTGGAGGTGTAGTAGAGGGAGAGGAGATTGAGAGGAGGAGCTACAGTCCTCCATGCTAGCAACAGCTCAAACTGTTGAGATGTTTGGAGCCGTACATTCTCCCAGCATGTCAGAAATATCATCCCTGGTATGGAAAAGCTTTGCCCTCACCGAATGTGGGAGCCTGGCTTCCATGGTGCTGGGTTCCCTAGGAGACTTGAATTAGAACACCCCCTCCAGAATGCTAGGGACCTCTTCCTAATGTCCTGCCTCTTTATTTTTTATTTCAGCGGAAGAGCTGGAAACGTCGCTTCTTTGCTCTTGATGACTTTACCCTCTGCTACTTCAAGTGTGAACAGGTTTGTAGTAGCTTTGGGGCCCTTCAGAGAGGTCATGGAAACTGGGAGACTCATGAGCACACACCCACATGAGTTGTTCCTGAGTAGAGGCGTGGGCACACACACAGACTTCAAAGGCACCTCTGTCTTATCTCCATCCCTCCTGCATGCACATCTTTACAGTGATATTAAAGTGGCCTTAACTTCCTTTATGCTGTGAGCTGCTTTGTGGTCAAAGCCACAAAGAATCATCTTAGATTTTTTTTTTTTCTCTTGATGATTTAGTTTGAAACCTTGGCTTGTTTGCCAACCTGATTTTAACCAACCATCTCTGATAAGAGAGGGGTATGTGCCATCTGGTCTGGGTTATAGCATTCTGTAGACAGACCGACTTACCCGTCTTTCCATGTTTTTCCACCAGGACCGAGAGCCACTGCGCACTATATTTCTAAAGGACGTTCTCAAGACCCATGAGTGTCTGGTCAAGTCTGGGTAATTGTTGTCTCTGTTTATTCTTTTCTGATCAGAACCCCCGTTTCTCTTCTGAAAGCTTCATTTATCTTCCCTTCTGAGGCTCTAGTCAAAAGTCCTCTCTTCTTCCAAGAGCAAGGGATGGGGCCAGATGTCTGGTGGCTGACTCACTGCATTTGAGCTGACACAGCTGTGAGATCACACTGGGCAAGCGCACCCTCTTCCCATTACCTCCTCTGGCTCCTTAGGAGATGAGCTGACATCATTATTTTCTGATAGAGAAAAAGAAGGATTATAGAAACAAAGGAGAGAGCGATGTTCAGATGCTTCTCAGGTGTTAGAAGTAGGTGCTCACTCTACGGGAGGCTTGGATTTCAGTGGGGAGACCATACCCTTAGACCACTGACTTCTCAGCATCTGTTTAGATCACTGCTTATGCCCCTGCCTCTTCCCTGAACTCCTTATGCTTTTCTTTTCTCCTCCTTTTGACAAAGTCCTTAATGCCCTGTTAACACAAGAATGAGTCACAGCAGCTCTGTGTTACTCCTATTGGGCAGGAAGAGCAAGTATTTTTAAGGTGTTCCTCTTTCCACTAGAGAATGGTTACCTTCCAGGTGCCACAGGTGCATAGGACACAGCACACAGGTTCATAGGACAAGCTTGGGACCTGGGACCCCAAGATAATAGCTCTCCCATATCCCACACCAAATACAGATGCCCTTAGAACTAAACTTTAGCGCTCTCAAGCGTATCTGGGCATCTAGGAATCCTCATTCTTATCCTCAGTCTGCAGTCGCAGTCTCTAGGGACTGTGTATTTGTGTGTCTGTCTCGCCATCCCATAGACTGTGCCTGCAGAGCCAGAGTCATCAGGGAAGCTACTAGCAGCAGGCAGACTGTTCTCTCATGAAGCTGTCCATGGTAGGCATCAGAGGGTCTTACATGAAAGCAAAGCCTGACCCAGGGAAGCAGGGACTGAAGCACGTACTGAGTCTTACAGATGGCCGTTACGGAGTAGGGAAGATTAGGGAAGCTCCCAGTGATAACTTACCATTCATGAAAGTAGATATAGATGGAAATTCCAGAAATGTGGTCCCAGAGGTTGGTAGTTGGGGGATCCCCCGTGATCCTAGATGGCTCCTGACCCTGCAGACTGTGTAGGGTCTGTCAGACCACCTGGGCATGTTGGGCTGGTTTAGGGAACCAAGATAACGTTGAATGTTCAGAGTGCCTCCGACTCCCTAAATCTTTAATATGTCCAGACTCAGGCTAAACTTGGAGAGTAAAAGAATTAAGGTTGTTGAAGACCAGCAGAGAAGGAAGTCCCCAGGGCTCTGCAGGTTCTAGGCCTGTTAGACTAGGTGGCCTCTCGCTAACCCAGTCAAGTGGTTTAGAAGATCTGGGTAATCAATAAGCATTTGTTGAACTGAAAGGCACCATGTAGCCTGAGAAATGGATCTTTCATTTTCCTCAGTAGTTGATTTTGTGATTGTATTATTTGTGCATAAATAGTTTAAAAGGTTAAAACATTTTAGCCAGAAAGAAAAGCCATCTCTATTTAGAAACTCAGAAAGTAATAGTAATGATAATAATTAATAAAATGTGTTCCCAGTGACACGCCTTCTGCCAAATGCTTTATATACCTTATAACTGATCTTTTTAGTGACTAGCTGATAAGGTAGGCCTCTTCATCTCCATATTACAATTGGGGTTACAAATGCTCACAAAGTTTCAAATACTTTCCCCAAATAACTTTTCCCTAAGTAGAGTCAGGATTTAGTCCCAGGTTCGTCTGATCCCAGTCTTGCTGTTCCCTCCCGTGTGGATCCTTAGCCTCACACTCTTCCTTTGCCTGGATGCCCGTGTCACTGGCCCAGCCCCTGCCATTTCCTTCCAAATCCTCATTCGTGAAGCCAATCCTGCCTGTGACCAGTCCTTTCTTGGAATTATTCCAACTCTTGGCAAATAACACACAATCTAACATCTGAATGTGTACTCTTGCATTGTTAAGCTCTTTTTTGGGGGTAGGAATTAGATCTTTCATTCCTTATATATTCCCTGTGGTGACTGGATGTGCACAGCGGCATTTAACACTGTAAATAATTTTGGCTGACGTGAGGTGTGCTACTGAACATCGGTGACTTCTTCGCAGAAGTTGGGATTCCCCTTCCAGAGCTTACACCCACTTTGAAGCACTTAAAGTCATCTACTCTCCCTTCCTTTTCTCCTCTTTAGCTTCCTGTCTTCTGTGCTCAGTACCATGAGGCACAGAGACGAAACTTAGTGAAGTTGACGAGATTGCTGCTTGGGTGGAGGGAGGTTTCAGAAATTGGAAAGTTGGCTTCCTTAGTAGCGGAGTAATTAAAATCATAGGCTCTGGAGTCAGACCTGGGTTCAAATCCTGCCTCTGCCACTTACTAACTCTAGCACCATAGTCACTTAACCTCTCTGAACCTGGGTTTCCTCATCTATAAAACGGAGAAAGTCACACCTGCCTCCTTGGATTATTGAGAAGATTGAAATAATACACGAAAAAGAATTCAAAATAGTGCTTCACGCAAAGCACTCCGTGTATCTTAGCTGTTAAAAAAAAACACTGTAGAAATTGAGGGATGGTGGATGTTAGGCAGGAGGTTTTGGAGGAAAAGGTGCATAATCTTGTAGACTTGGTAGGGAGGCCCATCAGGATGGCAAAACCTCCTGAGGCCTCCTAGGAAATGAGGCCAGAGGAACCCCTGAGTGTTTTTTGGGGCAGGGGATGAAGGAGAAATAGCCTGGGTGACCTCCACCCTCCTTTTTTATGACAAAGCAAATCATCAACATGTGTGTCAACATGCCCGGTAACATTCTTTCTCTTTCTCTGTCCAGTGATCTCTTAATGAGAGACAACCTCTTTGAAATAGTAACAAGCTCCAGGACCTTCTACATACAGGTAAAGTGCCCACTCAGAGAAGACTATAAAGTTCTATGTCTGTGACTGGTGTACTAATAGGCGTTGGCCTTTCCTTCGCTTTCTCTTTTATTTTTGTTTGAAGTTTCTAGGTGGTAAATTTAGCCCCTGATAGTCAGTCTGGAGCCGCGTTTTATTCTAAACAGGATGTTTGCCCAAAACTTCTCAACCATAAAAATCACAAAAGCAGGTTGAGCCAGTGTGCTGGAGAATGTAAGTCTGTACCAGCTGCGCTCAGCTGCTGGGCTCCAGCTAAGCAGAGAAAAGGAGAACTGGTCAGTGATTTCACTTCTCCTTTGCAGGGTATTTATAAGCCCAGTTATGTGTGTGGACATCTCTGTGTGTTGAAGGACAAAAGCACAGAGGGCCCTGGCAGGCACCAGGTGCAAAGCCCAGCTGCACAGAGAAAGCCATTGTTTGGGCTCTGATGGTTCATTTATCAGGAGCTTCTTCCCTCCACCCACGGCTCTGGAGTTCTCCCAACTCTTTCTAAAATCATAGGAGCTAGAAAGGCAGATTTCCAACCAGGGCCTAGACTTTCAGGCTAAAGCTCTCGCAATCTGCAGAGCGTGCCCAAATTCATGCCACATCATGGTAATATTGGATTTCAGCCCTGGTGGTGCAGTGGTTAAGTGCTTGTCTGCTAACCAAAAGATTGGCAGTTCAAACCCACCAGCTGCCCTGCAGGAGAAGGATGTGGTAGTCTGCGTCCATAAAAATTACAGCCTTGGAAACCCTATGGAGCAGTTCTGCTCTGTCCTGTAGAGTAGCTATGAGTTGGAATCAACTTGATGGTAACAGGTTAGTGTTAAAATGGACGTGTAGTGTGTTGGTTTAAATGTGAGGTTCCCCAAGCAAAGCTTTTCAGGGTTCCCAGCTCTGTTTCTTCTCTGTTCCAGGTATTTTTCCCCACTTAACACTCTCCCTCTAACAGCGGGCTGGCACCTCCTCATTTCTTGGGTAGCAGCTCTGGTTGTCTGGACTCCTCTGATCCTGTCCTCCTGTCTGAGCCCTGCAGACATACTAACAGCGTTAGTCATTCTTGAGTTTTAGTCATTCAGACAAGCACATGCCATTCAGGAAGAAATGGCGTTGGGGAGGCTTGGAAGCAAATGAGCTGTGGAAAGGGTTGCTGTGCCATTGAGAGCCACCTAGTCACTGTTAGCACTGACATTCGGGGACAACGATTCAAACTGTAGGCACGACGAAAGGGCTTCCAGTTCTTGCATTCAACAAACGTGTAGGTACCCACAGAGTGCCAGGCATTCTGCCACGTGTTGGGGACACTGTGTTACACGGGATGGACCCTAAAGAAGGAGATGCAGTCAGGTAAACAGGCAATTAAACCAGTGTGATGAGGGGAGAGGCTCCAATAGGTGAAGCACAGGGAATTTTTTATGACAGTGAAACTATTCTGTAGGATACTGTAATGGTGGATACATGACACTTTGCTTTTGTCAAAACCCATAGAACTTCACAGCACAAAGAGTGAACCTTAATATATGCCAGTTTAGGAGTCCGGGGGGACCACAGGATGGAATGCACGTGGGGGCAATAGAAAACAAACAAAAGAACAGTGTGATCATGCTGCTATTAGGGTGAGTGCAGGTTGCCCTGGGAGCTTCCTGAAGGAAGACACATCTAAGCTGTGGCAGTTAGGGGAAGAATGTCCCAGGCAGAGGAACCACGTGTATAAAAAAAGCTTAGAGATGAAAGAAGCGTAGAGCACGAGAGAATGGAAAGCTAGGTATGGTGGACCCATAGCCTTGTATGCCTTGTTAGAGAGCTTGTATTTTATCCTGAGAGTGAGGGAGTGACCTAACAAGATTTTCCCTTTAAAAATATCAGTTGGGCGACTTATTTAACTCTCAGCGCCTTGATTTTGTCATCTGTAAAATGGAGATGATAAGTTCACCCCTGGCCCTTTTAATGATATAAAAAAACCAAAGACCTGTTGCCATCAAGTTGATTTTGGCTCATGACAACCCCAAGTGTTACGGAATAGAACTGTTCCATAGGATTTTCTTGGTTGTAATTTTTATGGAAGCAGTTTGCCAGGCCTTTCTTCCATGAAGCCACTGCACAGGTTTGAACCACCAAGCTTCAGGTTAGTAGCCAATTGTAAACCGTTTGCACTGCCCAGTGCAGTATAGAAAACAGATGAGAAAAGGTGCTCTAAGTGGCTCTGACTATAGTTACAGGAACTAGACAGATCAGTTTGAAGACTGTGCAGTAGTTGAGATGAGGGATAAAGGAAGTCTGAACTAGATGGATGGAGAAAAGTAGAAAATTCAAGAGATATTAAAGAAGTAGACTTTCCAGGACTTGGGAGTTGGGTGCATGTGGAGGTCAGAGGAGAGTGGAGAGACAAGGATAATAACCAGATTTTAGGCTTGAGCCTCCGCGTGGCTGATGGCACCAGTCACTGCAGTAAGAGCAGGGGAGGAGGAACTGTTGGGAGGAGAGGTGAGGTTAGCGTGCGTGGTTCTGAGTTTATAGCACTTGGGGGACATCCAGGGGAAGATTGGATATACAGTGCCTGACACATTGGTGGTACTAAATAAATACTTGTCAAATGCACAACTGACTCTGCTGGTTAAGAGTTTTGGAGAGAGCTTTGGGCTGGAGATAGTGGTTTGGGAGACATGAAACCCAAACAAAAAACGTTCAAGACATTCTGTCCTCTGCATGAGTGTGTGCACATTTACCAGAAGCTTCTGATCACTCCTATTGTCCTTTGCCTTTGTCTTAGTTATCTAGTGCTGCTGTAACAGAAATACTACAAGTGGATGGCTTTAACAAACAGAATTTGTTCTGTCACAGTCTAGTAGGATAGAAGTGCAAATTCAGGGCACCAGCTCCGGGGGAAGGCCTTCTCTCTCTGTTGGCTCTGGAGGAAGGTCTTTCTCATCATTCTTCCCCTGGTCTAGGAGCTTCTCAGCACAGGGACCCCAGGTCCAAAGGACATGCTCTGCTCCAGACACTACTTTCATGGTGATATGAGGTCCCTGTCCTCTCTGCTCACTTCTCTTTTATATCTCAAAAGAGGCAGACTCAAGATACAACCTAATCCTGTAGATGGAGTCCTGCCTCATTAACGTAACTGCCTCTAATCATTAACATTATAGAGGTAGGGTTTACAACACATAGGAAAATCGTGTCAGATAACAAAATGGTGGACGGTCACACAATACTGGGAATCATGGCCTAGCCACGTTGGCACACATTTCTGGGGGATGCAATTCAGTCCATAATAGTCTTCTACTCCTCGCATTTCTGGTATAAAAGAACACTAGCGTCACCCTGAATAAATAAATGAGTGAACAAACAACTATGTTAGACTAAATCAGCACTTACCAAACTTTTTGGTCTCAAGACCCCTTTATACACTCAAAAAATTTTGAGAACTGCAAAAAGAAATTAAAAATTAATTCATTAAAAAATAGCAACTATAAACTCATTACATATAATATAAATAACATATTTTTATGAAAAATTACTGTATTTCCAAAACAAAATTATGGAGAAGAGTAGCATTGTTTTATATTTTTACACATTTCTTTAATGGCTGGCATAATAGAAGACAGTAGGATTTTCATATATGCTTCTGTATTCAATCTATGGCCATGTGTGATTTTGACTGAAACGTGAAGAAAATATGACCTCGTTCAGATACATACATGGAAAGAGGAGGAGTATTTTAATAGAGTTTTCAAACAATTGTGAATATTCTTAATTTGATATGACACCAAAACTTGACAAAGGATCATCTCTTAATGTTTAGGTGAAATGTGGAATCTGAAACTGTATCAGTGAACTTTCATACTCTTACATTAAAATCCTTTGGTCAGCTTTGCATTTTGAATGGATCCTTTTTACCCATGCATGATTTTATAATATTTTGTAATTCATTGCTTCAAAAACCATTGCTTTTGGAAATTAGTGCTCTCATGGAGGAACATAGATCTTCTGAATTTTGACACATTTTATGATATAATATAAAAAAATCACCCTTATTAATATCACCACCAGTATCATCTGGAAAGTCTTCAAGTATGGAAAGCTGCCAAGCTCTTGGAGGCAGATACAAGTTTTCTGAAATTCTAAGTTTTACTTTGAAAGTTCAAAATTTATAATGGTAAAAAAAAATCTGTCATGAGTTTCCTTGACATAACAGACTCATTTCATTCATTTTTGAGAGTCTGTCAGATATCTAAACAAGTTTGACTGACAATGTCTGTCAGTCATGTGTTCCAAGTAAAAATCATGTTTCATGGAAAAAGTAAAAGAACATAATGGCATTAAGGTGCCAGCAGTTTTACCCACCATTGCTGAAGTGACATTCTGACCTGCTTCTGAAGGTTATGCTCAGTAAATCTGCCAGAAAAAATCATGCATCCCTGGTATCTAGGAAAACGCGACCAGAGGTGAAATAGAGCAGATCTAGGTGAAGAAAACAAACTATCTGGACAGAAGAAAAAGACTTGGGCAGCTGAATGGGGCTAGATTCTAATTACTTAGGTATTGATTATTTACATATAACATCTCTGTGTAATTTGTTCTCTGTGATCTCTCACATTGTAGTAGTCTTTTCTGTTAATAAAAAGCCACCATCCATCCAGAGGTACCTCCCTTTGAAAACCCTGTGGAGCATCATTCTACTCTGAAATGCATGGGGTCACCATGAGTTAGAATGGACTTGATGGCAGCTTTTTTTTTTTAATTGAACACTTAGATGTCCCAGGCACAGTGCTAAGCATTTTATAGGCAGCATATTATTGAATTCTCAGCAGTCTATGTGGCCATCTCCATTTCACAAAAGCTGAGTCGCTGGAGGTTAAATTGTCTGAGTTCATATACCCAGCAAATTATGGGATTGACTGGGAGGTATCAGATGTTGAAGCAAGAACCTACTCACTCGTGTCATTTAAGAGCAGCCTGGTTGACAGATGCATAAAAGTGGGGGAGGAGACAATGGGGAG